ATACATTTGATTCATTGGCCTATTTGAGTTACTTATTTTGGGTACTTGTGTAATTTTATATATTTCATTCAAAAGTTTGTTAAAAATAAGCGTTTTRTTATAATATTTAAATAATGTTGTACAGCTAGGTAACTTAAGATTTATTTTAAAGTAAAATTTTTAAAAATAAATATTATTTATATAATAGTTATTATTATTTATTTATATCAAAAACACTTAAAAAAATAATTATAATGCAGTATGTTTTTACCTAGAAACTGTTTTTTTTCTTAAATTTTGGTATCACATTTTATWAACTGCATTAATTTAGCTAAATTTAATTATACATTTTTGAAACCAAAAGATATTTMTAATTTTCAGGTGTCCAAACGCCAAACATATTAAAAAGTGAAAAATTATGCATTTTACATGTTGAATTATTAATGGCGATGGTATTTCCAAATTAAAAAATTCCATAAATGGGTTTGTTAGTGGCTTTTTACTTAGCACTTAGCAGTTATAATAACTAATAATAATATTCAAGGTCTCAATACAGTCACTAGCATTTCTAAAATGCATAGATATTCTTTCTTGGAAATGTAAATAATATATATTTTTAAAAATATTTATCATATATCATGTAAGTYAAATATTTATTTCCTATAACTATTAGTACTATTACATATCTATTATTGATTAAGATGTCGTTTTCAGCCTACGCGGAAGTTAGTCAGCAAGCAAAATGTGAAAGCAAATTCAGTTGGTTACTATATAACGYACATAAAAATAATAGTTCTTATTAGGAACTTTTCTATGACTTCAAAAAATTCCTACCATTTGGAGTTAAAGAACCAACAGTGGTTATTTTGGCTATAGTTAATTTTTATACATCCGACTCAAATACAAATTATATTTTAAATTTTTGTAAAGCAGTACATGAATCTAAAAATTTTGTAATAATATATATGTAAGTATAATTATATTTTAAAAATGTTTATTTTGACTAGGTACTATACAAATTATTCATAGAAGTTATACAGAAATCGTTAATAAAAAATACCTGTAACATATTTATTTTGACAAAATAGGTAAATATGTGATAAACTTAAGATTATTTTTTATAAAATATCAGATGTGTCACATAGGTAACGCGCTTTTCGTYGAATTGTGCATTGACGGTCGTAATCATCACAATATAATGACCCCGATAATTTAAACTGTATAAGTATAATATGAGCCAATAGAAAATTTTTATTCGAGAAAATAAATGCTTATTGTTGAAATATAAATACATACTCCATAATCTATGCAATATTAGAATTTAAGAAAACAATTGTAATATTGCGTGAACTACCATATTAGGAGGTCCTGGTGCACATTTTTTCACAAACGATTGGCATGGTCAGAAGCTCAAATTTTAAATGGAGGGGGACTAAAAAATATTTCAAAAAATGTATCTTGCCTATTAATAATAGATCGGTATGGTCGTACATTATCCTTAAGACCTTAAATAATATAGATATCATGTCTTGAAAGGCTACATACAAAACTCGATTTTCACTCGGTAATAGTACATAATAAACGCAAATACTGCATGTGTATAATAGTATGTAGCATTATGATAACGCATTCGCTATTAAAATTTTACTTTTCTTTTATATTTACTAGGATTTCGATGTTGTGCACACCTTATGACGTATATAATTAATAATTATATGTAGGTACTTGTTAGGTTCCTATTATAATAAAATTATCGTTATAGTTAATGACATATATAGTAGGTTTAGAACAAAATTAATTGTGTATAAAAAATATCTACCGAATTGAATCATTCCAAAGGTTAGGATTATTCCAGTCAGTCGATTTTATTTTGAAAATATTATTGTTGAATTAAACACTCACATACTGCGCGTGTACTAAACGTTTGATTGACAGCTTGAGTTGTATACATATAAACGTTCGATCGGGACTAAACGAGGAGTTCGTGTGTGGGTAAAGGAATAAAAAGCATTTTACACTTTCAAGAATTGAAAAAAAAAACTAGCGAACGAATCCTCTTACGCGGGTATTTGTATACTCTCTCTAAATATTATCATCCTTCAAACGATCTACATTCTAATTTATTCTCACTATATATAACATTATAATCTATACATCATCATAATTCATAGGCACTATATATAATAATATAATATGTGCTTTAGACGGTACAATATGCGTTTAACCACATTTATRAAGTAAATTTCAACCATACGAAACACCGTAAATTCATTCTGACTTTCGAAATTATTTTACTAAACAAGGGTTGCAGGCATTCGTATTAATTATATAGTTGGAGATAGATGATAATGTACCACCACGTAAAACGTGAGTATTTTAGATATACGCTGCAACAGTTTAATACTGAAAACCAGGAAATAAATAATAGGTACACGGCATAAATATTACTGATAGAAATAATTCACCGAGCATAATTGAATCAAAAGATGGATTTAAAAAAAAAAAAAACAACAACATATTATACATGAATATTACTTTATATTTTTTTACCCTATGTACGGACTTGTTACTTACCTTGAGATTTCATTATTATTTGAGGTCTCGTAGGATTTTTTTGCGTGTCCATTGCAGTCGCTCATACGTGTTGGTCATATTATATTGTCATTTCAAAACCGTATAAAAATACTTTTTTTTTACGTCTATTACTGCAGACATAGACACTCTGATTAGTAGTTATCGTTGATCGTAAAATCGATAAACAATTCATTCTTATAGATTATACCTATATGGTGTATGAATATATGGTAAAAAATAAAATAATATATAATATTAAATACCCTATAAAGTGAATATCACGGTTGCGGAAAGACTCATCCGCCAACCGTAATAAAAGTATCCCCCTCACCTCGATCCGTTTGCAAGCAATATCATTTAATATATTACCGTATTAATTTTTTTTTATCATTATTTATTATCGTTTTGAGGATACCAGGATTATTACCAAACTCTTTGTGGATTTCCGTACACCTTTCTCCCGCGGTGAAATTACGACTTTCATTGTTTTATGTGCGTGGTTTGCACTCGCAGCTCACTAATGTTCGGACGCCCTGTGGATACGACCATGACGGATCGGCATCCGAATAATAATATATAATACAGTAAATTATTTTATACAACGTTAATCCATGCCCGACAAACCGCGATATTGTATCTAATAAGTAATAACTAATAAGCGTACGATGGATGACGGCGGCTGCATAGTAGCTGCAGCGTTGTAGTTTCTCATTAGGTATTTTCGTATAGTGCAGCTTGTATATTATAAATTATATAATATTATACTTTCAACGAACACTATCGTATTTGATTTTAATTAAAATATTTTCCGCCCACCACATTCGAAAATTTTTGTGTGCGACAAGCGTCACTTTACTATGCTATGTACGTTTACTACTTGTATGCTACATTATTATATGCTCACCGAACGAATTTTGAACCACTYCGCCGGAAAGAACTTAAAAGGAAGTAGCACCGCAATTAATGAACACATTTTGAATGATTAATGATGAACATATTATTAAAAATATAATTTGTATATATGTATATATTTAAGTGTAGGTATATGATAATATTATATTATTATAAAAGACGGAATTAAAGTGTCTAATGTATTATGTAATGTTTTCTAATGTTGGTATCTAGTTTTGTTCAAAAGACTGTTCTGTTATTATTTTTCGTATAGGTCCTMTTTTGAAATAGTATATTATATTTAAACTATATAATTAATTTAATGTGTTATAAATCTGAAACTTTTAAAAGTATACGATTTAAGACATAACATCTACCTATGTATAATCGGATTTTTTGACGAAAAAAAGTAGGTAGTAGATTTTTTCATTTTTACCGCATTAATAATAACGAAACCGTTGAAGCGTTGATTATATCATACGAATTGAACTACTTACTTTTGAAACTAGAATGCATTTTGTCATAAGCCATTAAATTATAAAGACTATCAAAATCAAACCGGACAAACGTGTATATTGTAAAATTAAAAATGCAATATTTCATTATTATKTTTGTTCATTAATTGTAAGTTWTTTTTTTTTATGTCTGTTCAATTGTCAAGTTTTTTATTAGTCATAATTCATAATATTGACCTAACCATGCACTTTACCTATTGGCTATTATATATGTATATAACGCAAGTTAAATCCTTGTGAATCACAGTGCAATGTTACTGTCGTTTGATTTGATTGATTAGAATACTTTCAAAATCTTAAAAAATGTTTGTAGATACTTACTTTAAATTTGAAAACCAAATGTAGCTTAAAGTGACTTATTGCAGAATCAGAAAGTTTCAAAATGTGTCGTTGTTTTTATTTTAGATGACTTCCTGGATAAATTTATCAAGCGAACCCAATGGGCGTTATACCTATAGTAAATTATCGGAATATCTAGTTACGAAATCTGCATTTTTTTTTTTATACGATCTTGGTTTAAGAAATAAGAATAGGTAGGTATATTGTATGCGAACCAGTATATAGCACATATATACCAGCCGGTTGATGTAATAATCCGGTTGTTGACAGATCATCGACATTGTTTATCATCGTACGTGGTTCACATGACTTCTTTTTAAGAAAAAAAAATGAAGAGAAGGGAAAAATACTTAGTGTTGGGTTGTTGGTTGTACCTGCATCGAAAATGTAATAAAAAATAAAAAACACATATTTTAATGACTGGTATAATGTTTATGTATATATTATTTTGTATTTACACAGCATAACTATACATGCACATTAAATTTTATAAATAAAAATTCAAACAATATCGATCCCAAAAAACACATGCAAATACTTAATAGTTGCAGCGGTGTCATCTTCTATATTATGTTATACAGAAAAAAAAACGTAATTGATAGATATAATAAGGAAATTCAGTTATACTTATTGTCTACAATTAAAATTTTGCGTATATAAGTTAACTTAATGTACAATTCAATAATATATGCGCCAGAAATGACGTATTATTTAGGTAATATAATATATTTATTATATATAAAATACGTTCATAAATAAAATATATTAATATTTCGTTTAATGAGCAACAATTTGAATAGTGAATAGCTTTACTAGAATATAACGCGAACGCGTAACGGGTAAGAGGGCGTAATATTCGTGAATGGCGTGTCGATAAAAATATATATATTATAACCGAATAGTAATTRATCGATCACATTCTTAAAACTARAACAACAGTGACGTAATATTCAATATTATACTGATATATATTATAAATAGGTTTACGGTCACTCCGTTTTTGTMAGATTATTTCTTAGTATTAGAATAAACATACGTAGTATTTTAATGTCGTTTTCGTCCGTTTACTATCTTCCGACCGAAGATAAAACGATGAAACAATCAAAGATTTCCCACGTAAAAGGAAGTAGAGTAAATTAACGATGACTACAACATCRTGTCGGGCCCCAGTTTACAAATGCCTTCAACGACGAAGACACGAACTTGACCTCTAAATACAATGACCAATGTGACGTGCAACCATAACGATTTATTAGATTTCGATTTGATGGTTGAGTTTTGAMGATATTTAGAACGAAAAAATGTATGTTGCGGTGCTATATAATTATGTTAATCATTAAAAAAGGAGAAATAAGCTATTAATTAGACGCATAGTTTCAAACTATAAGAATGTTGAACAACAATTGACCATTTTTAAATCGAATCACCCTATAGTCAATGCTTTTACATATTGTGGTTATTATAGGTGCTGATGCAGACCAAAAACATATAGGTGAATTTGAGCAATTTTTCGGTAATATACTACGCCCTATTGCCCGATAGGCGGTCAGCGTGACCGGTTAAATCTATTGGTAACACAACGACGACTGACGTTCGATAACACAAATAAACTTTGTATATGGTACAATGAATCTATGGGGAAGGTGACGCCTAATTAATCGACTACTTGAACAGTGGCGTAGGCGCTAAACGTGACCTTTTTGGGTTCGTCGTAGGTATGTTGATAGAGTTGGCTCTTGTTGTTTTTCTTGATTACCGACTTGAGATGTCCGCCATTTTTAACCTGTTGTCTCTGCTGCTGGTGAAGTTGCTGCTGATAGAGCTGTTGCTGTTGCTGTTGTTGATGGTATTGGCTGTGTTGGTGATGTTGGTGTTGATGACTGAAGTATTGATAGAAGTTGGCGGTTACAGATTCACCGACGCTGTTGCGGCGCCGGAAAGCTACAGGTTGCAAGTCCTGTAGTGGTGGTGACTGATTACCAGAAGTTATCTCTCGGAGTTTGCCGAAGAACCGGTTACCGAACGATGACGGCTGCTGCTGTTCGATGTTCGGATACCTACTGAACGCCACTGGCGGAGGATGTGACGGTTGGACGGCGGCCAGTTGCAATGGATGTTGTTGCCGGCGACCCGGGCCTGTACTCCTGCTTCGAGTCCGACTGCTGGGCCTAGATGACCGCCTGTGTTGTTCATACCGACCGTCCAGCCTGTCGTAATCAGCCGTTGACCACAGTCGGTCTGAGACAACAGTTGATGGCGATTGGCCGGCGGGCGACTTGGTCGGTGACTCCTGGCCGGGCTTCCTTTCCGGTTCCGGGCTCGCTGGCGGCAACACGGCGCAATGGTTGACATTGACCCGAATGAACTGGCCCCTAACCACCTTCTGTTGCCGCCTATAGTCTTCGTTACTCCCGTCACTATTGTCCGGTTTCGCCTTGTATTTTCTTCTTTCCGGTCTCTGTGGTGGTGGCTCAATGTCACCGTCGGCATCGTCTCGGTCTTGGTTATCGTCTCCGTAGGATCGGTCTTTGTTCGTCGGTCTCGGAGATTCGGGTGTGCTTATGCTTATGATGCTTGACTGAGACGAGTCCCTGGAAGTTGAGTTAGCCACCGCGACCACAGGTCCTGCCGTCACTTCAATGTGCGTCACCCCGTCGGTGTCTGTCCGCTGCACCAGGTTGAATCGGTTTACTTCGGGCATAGCCGTCAGCGCTATGTTGCCATTGCTGACGCCCACTTTGCGCCTCTGTGACGACAATAGCCCACCGCCACCTGTTGCGTGGCCCACCCAAGGCTTCGGCTCCAACTTTATGCGCCTACTGTGCTCCTGGTACGCCCGGCACACGTCCTGTAGCTGGTTGTCCCGGCTCCGGACCACTATGGCTTCCAGGCCAGCAGATGGCGTCTTCCTGGTCTTGATTACCCATACTGCGATACCTGGTAGTGCAGCCGCATCTGTGTGACAGAACGCCACGTCAGTCAGCACATATGCCTCTCGACCAGATTCGTCGGCCACTTCTGTGGCGACCGTCACTGGTGCCTGCCCACCTCTGAGTGAAGCGGCGTCRGCGTCATCGCTGTCTTCTGAAACGCCACTGCTGTTGGCGCTGTCCGATGCCGCACCCGCCGCCGTCGACACAGCTGCCAACGTACCTGTCTTCCTCTTTGTGGGATCTTCGTATGAGCCTAGCGACGCTAAGTCCTCATCCGACTCAAAACCCTCGTCGTCTGGCCGCTTCCTCTGGTACGGGATGATCTCCAACCCACCGTCCCGACTGCATGCCACCGTACACCGACGTCCCGGTAGCCGACCACGCTGTTGCTGCTTCTTGCATAGCTGTCTAACCAGCGTGGCCAGGCTGTCCGAATCAGCAGATCCTTGGACGGGTCCTCGGCCAAGCAGCTCGCAGTCAGCCGTCGTTATGGTTGTTGTTGTCGCGCTCATCGTCACCTGAAACAACAAAATACCGTCATCAGTATAATACATGGATAAATAATAYAMAAGCTGCTAATGTATTTAAATTGATTCTTGGGTCATTTTATGGAATATATATTTTTTATACGACATTGCCCCTAATACAATAAATATAATTATAATAATATTGTTTAAATTTAAAAAAGTACATTTTGTTTGTTATAATATACTTCGTCCATATACATCTATTTAGGTACTTATTTTTAATATTTGGCCATTTGTTTTCTAATATTATTATCATTCTTATTTTTTATTTTTTATATTAATATTGCAATATTTATGCATGTATACACAATTTAATGGAATTGATATCAAATCAGAGTATTCTATAGTATGAAATATTATTTTTATCTATCACCAAATATCCATCTAGTTTGATTAAAATGTATTACAATTAATTATACATTTAAACATTGGACCGTAGTAGTTGTATCATATGGTTTGAAGTTAATTTCCAGTGGTTAGATTTTCATATAAAATAAATCAATTGTATTTCATTAATTAAGATCACGCATTGCAGTTTTTAATATTTAACACTCATAATATAGTTTAATATTATTATGTGATCGCAGTGGCAATCAGTTGACTCCCATACATGACGCCTGCAGCACCTAATGTTAATTTTATGAAGATTAAGTTTTGGTATAATTAATTTTAAACTGTTTAGGTGTTCTTCTGCAGTCGGTAATAATAAAAGAGAATGTGTCATTGGGCGGAGAATATATGTAAATAACCTTCGGGTGGTGATTGATCGGTAAGAGAGTGCCCCACCAGCGAATAGAACCGTGAAACGTACAACGRCCCACAGATAACCGTTGGTTTAGTCGGGAGGGGTTCTTGTTGTATCTGCGAAGGGTAAAGAAACTGGAAACTGGCACTGTTTTCCAGTGACCCAGAACAGCATAGAGTAATTTGTAAAAAATGTATACTGACAGTGGTTTCTATCAATTTAAACATTTTTCAAATTCCCAATGATGCGCTTTAAATTGTTATGACCAATAGATGAGTTCCATAATATATATAATATATAATTAATGAGTACACGAGTTTGAAATGTACGAGCGATAATCATGAAACGTGTTATGGTCTAAAATTTAAAATAAATCCAATTTCTCCAAATGTATTAAAAAATTAAGTGTAATAAATTGCTTCCTTGCTTTCTTGTAAACACATAGTTAAATATACAGTAAATATATTTTTATGAATAAATGATGTAAATTAAATTTGTATTTTAAAGCAAAAACATAACAAATAGCTATGAAGTCTTACAATCAACAAAATAACAATTGAATGTATTATTACTAGGTACCTATATGTAATAAAAATATTTGTCTAATGTCTAATAACATATATACATATATATGGGTTTTTATGTGTACTAGATTTATAGCTATAATACCTACATGGTATACATGTAATCAACATTTTGTTGCATTCAAATTCAAACGACTCTATATAGTTTGCTACATTTACTTTTTATGATGTTATATATTATAATTATTCACTGCATGATGGCTAGTAACTATATTTTAAAATATTTGTGTGATTTCTTAATATATAGTATTAAACACATATAAACGATTTACACTGCAGGTTATCAGATGAGTATAGGTTATCGGAAATAGTCACATTTGAAAATAGATCATATTATATTGCAGACAGTTAGTCGGACCTGGATCAAAGCAACGGTATTGACTTGGATGTAATGCCATTAAGTCTCCATACTCGGCCATAACTACATTTCGATGATAGGTCACAAACACGAGTAAACATCACAGTGGTATTCCATTTTGGTATTCGTACATCTTCCTTTCTGGTTGACATTTTTATTTGTATTAGTCGGATGAATCTTTTCTGTTTGTTTAATGGATAAAAAAAAACGCGTTTCGAAATACTTTTTAACCAGACGACAGTTTAATTACTGTTTAAACTGGAACGTTATGCAATGCCGTTACAAAAAACAAATGCATGGATCTACCTATATACCATAATATTCTCTCTCTCTTACACTAGCTGTCTCTCTTGATCTTTCTCTGTCCGTTTATTTGTAGGTGTGACCAAAAGTAAGCCATCGGTTGTTTACCGAGAAACGTATTATATTACACACGTTAAACCTGACTGACTAAGTCCACGATTATATTTACGTAAATATTTAATTATTTAACATTTGATACGTTCGTTGAAGTCTCCAATCAGTATTTATAGGTACGTGAGTTAAAACTACTTATATAGTAGAGTCTGACGTCATCCGGAACAATATTGGAGGGAAACCCCTAGAATATAGGTTCTTATTGTATTGCAATACTTGCCTTCTATACATATTACAATAGTATTTGCTTTTGTTCACATTTAAATTTCATTGAAAACATTATTGGTTTCCCTAATATTCCTGCAAAAATGATTTGGAGACGGATAAAATACACTATAATACTGGTTTAAACACTTAGTTTTCGAACACACTAGGAATRCGATAGGGAGTCAACTATTTGTGTGCAAAAAACTAGAGAAAGTATTACGCGTATTCGGTTTACCTAGTGCAGTGTGCAGACAAAAATGCATCAGCCACAGATTTCCATTAACGAACAATATGTTCTTGGGTCAAGTTTTTTGTGGTGTTCGTGGTCTTATGTGTGTCTAAAAATACGACGAGTGTAGATATATTGAACTAAAAAAATTAAAGTAAATTACACTTACAGACTAAAGAGCGTTATTGCGATACTTATATTTATAATACTGTATTTATATTAAAACGATTTMTCCATTTGTGTTTACAAAAATCGGACCGTAGTCATCCGACGTACTAACAATGCGATGTTGGAGGTCAAAAAGTATCATGAAAAGAACGATCCAAAACGAATCATGTGCGTATACTAATTCTCCAAGACTCATCATTTGTCAATAACGCTTCCTAACGATTAATTTTGGGACACCAATGGAGGCCGTATKCTACTTTTAAAGATAACGCTCATAAWCAGATTTTAATCGGTCATACTGTTTATTTAAAGATTAACATTATAAGCATGGCATTGCAATCATCCGTTCTACATCATAGGTCTCTTCAGAATATTAAGAACGATCAAAATCAGTCAAACCAGATTAAGAACATTATTTGTTGTAGTAGGTACAGTATACTGTACGTGTATGTATGAATAAAAAACAACTATCGATGGAAAATTGTAATTTATCGATCGATAACATTTTAACTGCATCATAAACCGATCTTTCGTCTAGTAAAATTTGTATAAAACTAAACGCATACCTATCGCCTATATAATATGCACACTGCTGTACAGAGTTTACAACAATTTTAAGCGTAAAAGTTTATTACCTATATGTATGCGTATAATAAAATATAAGTTTTTCAAATGCATTGATATATAGCAAGATTATTATTCTAGTATGCAATATAATTCTCGTATCTAGAGATCATATTATAAGTAATGTGATTCAAGGAACTACGATGATGGCGAGTGTAAATAAATTTAAAACGAAAACATCGACTAAAGTTCTGTGGCGGTCGAGTTTTATCGACTGCGATATGCCTATATACATCATAATATTTATTATGCTAAACGATTCATATTATAGACACAATAGTATTGTTCGTTTATCACGAAATCACTTTCGTCGTTGCTTATTATATCGACCACCTATTATAAACCATATTAAGTCGACGAGATTGCGACACGGCTATCTTCTTCTTGTTGTACTTCTTACGTCGTGATCCATCCGCTTTCGTCGTGTCATCAACGAAATAGATGTCTTCAGAGTGACGTTATACAATGTTACGGCTGTGTTCTCGTTTTATTTTTTCACTTTTATTATTTTAAGTAATAAATGACCCGTGAACACAGTGCTCACGAAATCGTCACACACATATAGTCCGAAGGTTCTTAAATTGCTCTTGTTTAATTTTTTAATTTTTATTTTTTCGAGCAATATGCTCACAGACGCTCTATAAATGGCTTAGAATTTGTGTCGTAATTTCGTCACCATGTACAAACACTCGTAATTAGCCATAATTGTTCATATAKCCTGTTCATAGCCCACCATGTTAGTATGTTACGCCATCATCTGAATAATAATTATACACCGTAAACCAGTACAGATTCATAATAAGCGATCTGTAATATTATCACCAGAATCGGGTTGATATGATAAATCGACCGTGTTGAACTCGTATTAATTACAATACGCACTCTACTATAGTAATATTATGTTCAACGTTGAGCCGAAGATTTGAAAACAATAATTTGTTTATATCGTCTCATAACGATGACACAATATTCCTGTACGATGATTGTATACATAGTTATATAGGTAGGAACAGAAAACATAGACATTACGTTACCTACTAATATTTCTAGTATTTCCACCTGCAAGCTGTTTAAGATGGTAGTTATTATAAAATAAAATACTTCACATAGTAGAAGATACGAATATACTTGTATTTGAAATAACGAATGTTTATATGAACTTACGATCACTCGTGTAAACAATATTTAACAATAGATTTTTATTAGGCATCTAAAGATTTAAAATGTATACAAAACCTAAAGTGTGAATTGTATAAAAAAAGCATTAGAAAGTRTTAGCGRTGTCAAAAAAAAAGATAAATAATCATCTAGGCCCACACACAAAGTAACCTGTCGACAAAGATTCGTCCAAATTGTGAAATTTGCGTAATTGCGTATTATTGTGGCTTATGTTAACCTTTTACGTACGATCGTAAACTGAACTATGAGTTTTATGTATTTAATATCCATAATTTACGTGTAATTTTACGGTTCTGTCCATAAGAATATATGAACTATTTTCAGATTAARTTAAGAGAGTAAACATTTTAAGTTTTATTATTATCATAAATGTAATTTTTAGGAATATTTAAGGATTGTATTTTAGTAAATACAATTTATTTTATAAAATATATAAGATGTGTAACTTAAATCTTATTTGTCAAAACTCACAACGAATTA